CATATAATATGATGTATATTTGCTACATCAACCCAAGGCCTTCCCCCAAAGGAAGGGCCTAATTTGTAATCGAGTGTAAATAATAGTGGATTCATTCAAATTGGGCAATACCCTGTGGTTTTCCCCCTTTTTAGGGGTTTCCATGTAAAAACACTAGTGTCACTTATAAACACTCACCCTCTCTTTTATCTTCATGTGTGCTAGATTTTTGTACAAAGCTAAGACGTTAAATTTTATATTTCTCTACTACAATAAATATTTCAAGATGCAAAAGTTTGGCGTCGTATGCGGGAACATGATTCCTGACTGGGTGGTAATTTTTTCTCTAACTCCAAAAGGTCATTCATGCCAACTTCCTTACATCAGTTATTACTACATTATTACAATATCAATTTTTTGAGAAGTAGATGCAGACTGGGGGGCAACCTTGACTCCAATTATGGTCAAGAAGATACCTCTAAGGCTTTTAAAATCAGGATGATAATTTAGAAAACTCCCAACAAATATAAGGATGCTTCTAATAAATTTAAAGTCTCATATAGTCCCTAGCTGGACTTTTATTCCTTAAGTAGGGTCCTAATCTCAACTTTAAAAAGGTAGTAACGATCTAAAGATAGACTATTCTTTACCCTTGATTCAGGATACACATGACATTCATCCTCTCTCAATCGAGGCAAAATCAATCCCATAGGGATTAGATTCGACCTCTTCCACAAATGTTAACGTCTTCAAGCAGTGCTCTAAAATCAACCTTGGATAGGTCATTCATCCTTTGTGGATTCTCTCGACCTCTTCCATTTAATTTAACATCATCTAATATCGCTCTAACATACAAGCTTGGATATGTCATACATCTTTGGTGGATTCCCTCGATCACTTCCACACAGGTCAACATCATCAAGTAGTGCTCTAACATATAAAATCAAATAGGTCATAGGTGGATTCCATCGACCTCTTCCATACAAATTAATATCATTGAGTAATGCTCTAATATACAACCTTGGATAGGTGATGCATCCATGGTGAATTTTCTAGACCTTTACCATATTGGTTAACATCATCGTGTATCACTATGACATATAACCTTTAATAGATCATACATCCTTGGTGGATTCTCTCAACTTCTTCCATCCAGGATTATGTCATCAAGTAATGCTCATACATATAATTAACCTTAGATATATCATACATCCTTGGTGGATTATCTCAATCTTTTTCATATAGGTTAACATCATCGAGTAACACTCTGACCTACAATCTCAGATAGGTCATACATCATTGATGGATTCTCTCAACCTCTTTCACACATGTTAATGTTATCGATCAATGCTTCGATATATAACCTTGAATAGGTCATACATCATTAGTTAATTCTCTTAATCTTTTTTATATAGGTTAACGTCATCAAGTAGTGCTATGACATACAACCTCGAATATGTCATGTATTTTTGATAGATTCTTTCGACCTCTTTCATATAGGTTAACTTCATCATGTAGTACTCTATCATACAACCTCAGATAGGTCATACATCATTGGTGGATTCTCTCGACCTCTTTCATACAGGTTAATATATATAAGCAGTACTCTGACTTATACATCCTTGGTGTCGTCTGACTTAAGTCGAACTTCTACTTGATGTTGAATTTCATCTGTCACTAGAACTGCCCTTCATCGAATTTAAGTTGGACTTCTACCAGACACTGAACTTCCATCCATTGTTATCCTTTTGCCCATCGCCGAACTTTCGTCGAACTTTTACTAGATTCAAAATTTTCACCCGTTGCCGAACTTCTGCCCATCACCAGACTTTCGGTGGACTTCTACCTGACGTCAAACTTCAACCCGTGATTGAATTTCTATCTATCGCAGGACTTCCACCCGTCCCTGGACTTTTATTTGAATTCTACCCTATATCGAACTACGACCATTCTGAATTTTGTCTCTTTACAATGATCTTTTCGACCTCCATCACGAACCGACTACGGATCTGAATCTCTCTTAGTTGTGGGATCTCCAGAAGAAGGGTGATCCCCTGTCATGATCTATGTATAAGGAAGGGATCTACAGTCAGATAAGGGATACCGCTTATATAAAGTAGGGGAAAGCCTCCAATATAATAAGAGGATGGAAGGGGAGATAAGGGGGAAGGAGGAAAATATCTCTTCAACGTAGAGAGGGGACCTAGACCCGGACAGGGGATACCTGAACAAGACCAAGGGAAGGCTTTAGCCCGAGGAGAAGAAAAAAGAAAAGAGGAAAGGAGCAGACTCCTACGCAGTGAGGGGCCTTAGACTTGAATAGGTGATACCACCTAAACATGACTAAGGGAAGGCCTCAGCCAGATGAGGAAAAGGAAGGGACCTCTATGCTCAAGTTTGAAATATTTTCGAATTCGAAATCGTGTCAAAAATTTACTGAAAGCTGCAACATATATTTTTGGAATCTACAGGCTTCGACGTCCGAAAATAGGGGGGAATTGATACATCATCAAAAAAATATCTTGATTTGGCACAAATCTCGAGGCTAAATGCAATTGGAAACTTCCAAAATTAAATTTACGATTTCAACAAACTTACATTCAAACTAAATATCTAAAAAAACTTGAACCCAACGACACCAAATTTGATTTAATCCGAGGCCAAATGGGTCTAAATCAAGGGCCCAAAGCACCATTAAGATGTTTAAACTATAGTTTTGATTACCAAACGATTTTCAAATGTGACATGCTTATAGCTAAATCGAGCGGCTCGACGAGACGAATCTAACGATCCCAAGATCACTAAATTCCTACATCATTAAGGCCTTCCCCCCAAGGAATGGCCTTATTTGTAATCGATTGCAAATAATTGTGGATTCATTCAAACTGGGTTAGGCCCCGTGGTTTTTCCCCCTTTTCAAGGGTGTCCACATAAAACTTTAGTATCTCTTATAAACACTACACCCTCTCTTTTATCTACTTGTGTGCTGGATATTTGTACAAAACTAAGACGTTAAATTTTATATTTATCTACCGCCGCAAATATTTTAGAATGCAACAATAATAATAATTTTTAGGTGAAGCATCCTAAAATGAGAAAGAATATGAGTTCTAGCCCAGATAAATAATCCACCATTTAAATATGTTAAAAAGTTTGATCTTCCCCTTAATTAAAGAAGACGAGATTATAAAATATGTAAATAAAATTTATAATTCAATAATTGTTGGGGAATATTGGAAATGCAGTAGTTATATGAAGTTAGTTGGGTGACATTTGTCAAAAGAGAATGACAAAGTGACAATAGTTGGAAAATTATAGTGGCTAGATGGTACTGCATGAATTATGAAGATCAGGCAAAACAACAATAGAGATGAAAAGCAAATGATGGTAACTAGGCGATTGACGTGTCTGACAATGGTCATTACTATCAAATGTCAAGTAGATCTCTAGAGTTCTTCAAATTTTTAAGCTCTCTTCAAATTCTAGTCTTGATCCACTTGATATGGATATTGGGGACCTTTTTAATATTAATAATGGACATTTTGATAAATTGAGCAAAAACTTTATAAGACCCAATAAACAACTCATATCAAATTTTGTGATCCTAAACTATTTATTTAATATTTTTGTTTTGTTGATCTCAAAATAAAAATATCATGGGCTTATTAGATTTATGTCATTGAGTTGCTCATTTTTAATATAAGCGTGCAAAATGTCCATTATTGGGTGCAATGGAGGAGGCGGCTAGGGAAATTTATTTGAAAAGGTCCCCAATATCCATAAATCTATCCGAATATTGGGGACCTTTCTGCACATACCCCAACTTCTTCGGACCCAACCAGACGGAATCAGGGTAAAATTTAGTAACATCAATTTCTACAAGAACTCGAGCAACAGAGGGACGGGATCCAGAAGCCGTGGCATTATCAGTTTGAATCGGGCATCCAAAAATCGAACCAATCCCAAAAAGAATTCGGGAAGAGAAGAGGTGAGGACATAAACCCGGGAATGAAAGCCAAACAGGGACTATCGGAGATTCTTCCAAAAGATCTAGAAGAGGGGACCATTTTATAACTTTCATGAAACAACCATAAACAAAGTAGGAATGATGAGAAAAAACCCTACCATAGTCCAAATCATTAGATAGCTTGATTAACACATTAGCTTAATTTAACAGAGTTACAGAAAAATCCCCAGACAATTTCAGATTGGAAAAAAAACTTCGGATAGAATCTAACGCTGGCCGTTTAAGGGGAAATTTTCCCACCAGAGCAAACTCAAATGGCTTAGCAAGATGCAAAAATTCATCTTCTGAAAACCACAACGCCGGCATACCTCGAATCGAAGAAATACGATAATCCGGAAAACCTTTCGACTCATCGGAACCAGATAAAATGTCTTTGAAAGATTTGGATTGCTTACCCGCTAGGAAACTAGAATCTAACAATTTTTTTGCCATAGAAAACGTACCGCCGGAAGCGAAGAAGACGAACGGAGGAGGCGGCTAGGGCAAAACGCCCTAAAAGGGCGCAAACCCTAGCAGACGAAAAGGCATTCCAAGCTTGCATGCAATAGTGTAATATAGTAATATTTGAGCAATCAGCCACAGATTTTGGCATAGGATGGCATAAGAGGAGGCACTACTTTAAGATCATCTTTAACAGAAAAAATTATTTTCCACTCCAAAATATAGTAATATTCCAAAATGCAATAACTCAATTACAACCAAACTCCATTTCCTTAAAAAAAGCGAATATTATGTGTACATTCTTTCTCATATTCCTATTGTCAAAGCGCCTTCCCTCGAAATCATACACGTGCGATTTGACGTTGGTGAATAGTACGATGCCACACCTCATGAATGTAGCGTTTGATTTGGTGTTCTTGTGAATCGAATGGCAAATGACAAATAAGTGTATGCAATTTGGTTAGAGATAGCCTAAGAGCTTATGCTAGAAAGAGAAAAGAACGCTAAGGAATTGTTATTGCTCTAATTAAGGCTTTGAAAACCGGACCGGTCAATGAACCGGAAGAAGAAGAGGTTAGCGGTTCGATGGTTTGACTGGGGTCGAACCGGGGTTGAACCGGATAACTTAATAAATAATTATTATATTTCATTATTTATAAATATATAAAAAAATTTAAACATAATTATAATATAAAACATAAAAAGTAAATATTATATAAAGTAAATAAGAAAAACATAATTATAATATAAAGCATAAAAAATAAATATTATCCAATGAACTTTTTCTTAAGTGATTAATCAAAACTTTTTTTATTTTCCTCCCTAGTAATGGGTAAGAGGAGAATAGAATCGATAGATTACAGCAAGAATATATAGACTTATAGAGCAATGATTTTCTTTTTAATCTTAGATGAGAGTATGAGACAACGACATAAGTTTAATAAACTTTCAGTAAACCATAAACTTAAAAGTCAAAATGGCCTAAACAAACAAACAGGAAAAAAAAGAATATGAAGAAGAAGACCATGTTGATAGATTATACAAAAAAGGCACTGCATGTGGATAGCCGAGTAAACAAAAACATGAATTTTACAAAAAATCAATCATTCACCTCACATTTCAAACTCCAAACCGGAGAAAGCAACATGTTTTTCAAAAAAAATAAAAAATTCAGAATCTGACCAGAACGACTGAAGGAGGCAACGTTCGGCCCTTTCCACTTCGTGAATGAGCAGGCCTGCAGGAGCCAGGAAATTACTTTTTGCCTTCTTGTTTCGCGAACGAGCAGCACAGAAATGGTGTTGGCTTCTGAGCTTCGCACGCCATCAGGGAGGAAGATAGGTCAAAGGCAATGAGGGTTTTTTTCTTTGTTGAAGCTCAAAGCCGAAGAAGCGAACGAGGGTTTTTTTTTTTTTTTTCATTTGTTGCTTCGCGAACGAGCGGCACGGCCGGTTATTAAAAACCGGTGCCGGTTCGGCGGTCGAACCGCCGGTTCGAGCGGTTTAATCACGGTTGGATGCGAAACCGGTTTCCATTTGAACCGATTCGCAATTAAACCGGTTGAACCGGCCGGTCCGATCCGATTTTAAAAGCGTTGGCTTAATGACATGCAGAGAAATGAAGTGTTGACATGATGGCACATATGTATTCCATATCATATATAATATATTCACATGTTAAGGCTAAAAAAAAATATGAATACATAATTGAAAAATAAAAGGACGATGCATTAACACCTATATAACTTCCTTTCCGGATTAGCCGCACCTTATTTTAAAATTAAATTAGTCAGTAAAGAACCTTTTACTTAAGCAGCAATTTAGTAGCTTATTAAATAAATAAAGCCAGATCTTCTCTTGAAAATTTTATTAGTTAGAGATTGAATGAACTCAACAAGTACCGTATTGTTAACTCAGATAATCAACGAAAGCTAAGTCAAACAAATAGGAAGAAAGTTGGCAACTTTGAAGCTCGCTGCTGCCAACCCCACTATCCTTCCCCCAAAAAATCAGAATTCCTAAGTCTCTTTCTATTTCTTTTACCTCTTCAAGCTCCCCTCTCTCCATCACCAATGGCCATCAGCGGCACCACTCTCCGCCCTAAAAAAACCTCCTTTATCACCTTACCTTCCTCCACGCTCCTTCAGTTCCTCTTCATCTCCGCCCTACTCCTCCTCCTCTTTTCAGTCTCTCCCTCCATCCCCTGCATCCCGTCCACACCCTCCCCCTACCCCTCCCCCTCCCCCCTCCTGGTCCGGCGACCTCCGCCTCGCCGAATTCTCCTGGAACTCCCTTCCCTTCCCCTCCAACCATCTCCCTCCGCCGCTTAAAATCGCCGTCTTTTCCCGCAAATGGCCCTCCTCCTCCTCCCCCGGCGGAATGGAACGCCACGCCCTCACTCTTTACTCCGCCCTCTCCCTCCGTGGCCACCAAATCCACGTCTTCACGTCCTCTCTCGACCAGCCTCCTACATCCGTCAACTCGCCGCACCTCCACCTCCTTGCCGGCCCCTGGCGCTGCGACGAAGCCTTCTCCCTCTTCGAAGAAGAGCACGCCATCTCCCCCTTCGATGTCGTTCACTCCGAAAGCGTCGCCCTTTTCCACCGCTTCGCTCACCGCATCCCCAACCTCGCTGTCTCGTGGCACGGCATCTCCCTCGAAGCCCTCCATTCCTCTATCTACCAAGACCTGCTCCGCCGCTCCCATCACGAACCCCTCTCCCCTTCCTTCAACCGCACCCTCGCCTCCGCCATCTACAAAGTCCTCGACGAAATTCGCTTCTTTCATAGCTACGCTCACCACGTCGCCATCAGCGATAGCACTGGCGAAATCCTCCGCGATGTTTACCAAATCCCACACGGCCGGGTCCACGTTATACTGAATGGAGTTGATGAACACGATTTCCGGCCGGACTTGGAGCTTGGAATGGCCTTCCGGGAAGAGCTTGGGGTGCCGGAAGACGCCAATCTTGTAATGGGCGTCGCCGGACGGCTTGTGAAGGACAAAGGACATCCTCTTCTGTTCCAAGCATTTGCTGAGATAAAAAAACGGTATCCCAACGTATATTTGGTGGTGGCCGGGTCGGGGCCGTGGGAGCAGAGGTATAGGGAGTTGGGGGGGAAGGTTATCGTCGCCGGCGCACTTCCGCCTGCAAAGCTGCGAGCTTTTTATAACTCGATTGATGTGTTCGTGAATCCGACGCTGAGGCCGCAAGGACTGGACTTGACGTTGATGGAAGCGATGCAGTGCGGGACGCCGGTGATTGCGACGAGGTTTCCGAGCATTAAGGGGAGTGTGGTGGTGAGGGAGGAATTAGGAATCATGTTTTCGCCGAATGCGGCGGAGCTTGAGAACGCGATGGAGAAAGCAGTGGGGGAAGGGAAGGAGAGGATGGCGGAGAGAGGGCGGGCGTGCAGGGAGTATGCGAAGGAGATGTTTACGGCAAGGAAGATGGCCATGGCCTATGAGCGGTTGTTTCTCTGTATTAAAAATGAGAGCTTTTGCAGGTACCCGCTTGAGTTTGATTAGATTTTTTTTTTTTTTTTTTTGAATTATAGAAACTATGTGTTCAAATGAATCGATTAAACTACCTTGTCTGTTCTGTTACATAATCATGTGAAGTTATTAATGAGGAATTATATCAGAGTTTGTTTTAGCTTTTGATGCCAAGATTTTGCTTGTGGTATGCTCGAATTATTGTTGGATGTAAAGATTGTTATATCGTTCTTTTTGTATGGTTCATTTTGAATTCAATTTTTCTTTATAGGTGACACAAATTTTGCTTGTAAGATTGACTATAAATAAAGGATAAAGGGAGAGAGAAAAGAAGAAACTACAACATTTTATTTTGTAACAGCGGGGTCGCGGCAGCGGGGAGTGCAGCGGGGTCGCGGCAGCGAGGCGTGCAGCGGTGTCGCGGCTGTCGCGCGAGGGTTAGGTTATAACGGGTTCGCGGGTTGACCCGGCAACCTGTCGGGTCAACCCGAACTCGACCCGTTTAGAAATCGGGTCGGGTCCAACCCGGAATTTTCCGGTCGGGTCCGGGTCGGATTTTCGTGTCGTGTCAAATATTGACACCCCTAACTCATAGTCATCTGAATACATAGAAAGGAATTAAGAAAGAATTAAAGAGAATGATTAGTGGAGACATCTTCTGAGATTTTAGCATTATTTATTAGTCACTTCAAGATAAACTTGGCTCTAAATATGTATTGACTCAACTTTCTTAGTTCCATGTATCTTTGGCAGGGACAACTTCTCCTTCATATATAGTAGTGACTTCTTAGCAAAAATTCTTAGTAGAGAGTATGGAGCCTTCATTTTAGCAATTTATTTGTTTAAGTTAGACTCCTTCAAGTTGTACTCGTTTGTCATGGAGGTCAAAGATGACTTTGAATGCCTGAGGTTAGCACTAATCAGTTCTTAAACCCTTTTAAAGAGTATAATTTTCTTGCATTGTGAATATCTTGAGAATATTATCTTGAAGTTGAAGTCGACATCTTCCCTTTGTCAATAATGCTTTTGGCACTAGACTACTAAATTAAAGAGAGTCTCATATCTTTGTCTAGAACCAACTTACACAAAGGGAGGCCATAAGGTCGCTAGAAAAACTTGTCTTTAACAAGGGTTAGGTTAAAACGGGTTCGCGGGTTTACCCGGCAACCCGTCGGGTCAACCCAAACTCGACCCGTTTAGAAATCGGGTTGGGTCCAACCCGGAATTTTCGGGTCGGGTCCGGGTCGGGTTTTCGTGTCGTGTCAAATATTGACACCCCTAACTCATAATCATCTGAATACATAGAAAGGAATTAAGAAAGAATTAAAGAGAATGATTAGTGGAGACATCTTTTGAGATTCTAGCATTATTTATTAGTCACTTCAAGATATACTTGGCTCTAAATATGTATTGACTCAACTTTCTTAGTTCCATGTATCTTTCGCCAGGGACAACTTGACCTTCATAGTTGTGACTTCTTAGCAAAAATTCTTGGTAGAGAATATGGAGCCTTCATTTTAGCAATTTATTTGCTTAAGTTAGACTTTCAAGTTGTACTCGTTTGTCATGGACGTCAAAGATGACTTTGAATGCCTGAGGTTAGCACTCAGTTCTATGTAATACTATTAATATATTTTATTATTAAAAAGCTCAAATTATACATTGTCTTCTAATCTCAACCTTAGCTTGAGGGAGAGTGATGTAACACAATAGTATGAATATCATCATTGCAATATTTTTGAAACTTAAAAATGTCATTTTTTTTATTCTTGAAATATTTTTGGAAACTTAATATTACTATGTTTGAAAAGTATGAAAATCATCAATGCCATACATTTGGAAACTTAAAATTTTCAAAGAGTGATTATTTTTAAATGAGAAAATATGTCATATTATTCTTTAATATTATTATCATCACAATATTTTGTTCTTTAGTGTTATTATTATAGGCATTATATAATGTATTATATCCTTTAAAATGATAATTCGTTATTTTATGTAGCTGAAAATACATGCATCGAGAACCATCTTGTAAAAGGATTTCAAAACATGAAAGAGAGAGCATTAACATATGGCCAGCCATACAAAGAAGACTTCAAAATGAGGCTTGAACTTCCCAAGCATCATTGGACCAAGAAAAATCTATTTTCGACAAGTGAATATGTATATCTATTACAATATTATGATGATCTCCACACCATTGAAAGTAGATAAATTATTTTTAATCATAAAAAGTGCAACCAATTAAGCATAGACAGAAAGAAGAAGCATAGAACAAAGCTTATTATTCATGAAAAGTTTCAATTTTATAAGATGAATAAGATAAAATATTTGTTTTTATTCTACACCATTAGCATCACTTAACTCTTCAAGAGAATAGCACTGGATGAAAAAGAGAATGATGTAGCATAAAAGCAAGAAAATTATCATTTTCATAAATTTAGAAATTTAAAAATGCCATATTATTATTTTTTTAAAATATGTTAAGTTATCATGTTGTGCTTTAGTATTACTGTTTTTGGAATGTATGAAAATGATCATTCCCATATATTTGAAAATGAAAAAAAATTCAAATTATTATTTTTTAAAAATGAAAAGTTATTGTATTATTATTTAGTATTATTATCATCATATTATTTTATGTTTTAGTGTTGTTATTATATTATCATAATATTATATATTATATTCTTAAATAATTATTCATAATTTTTTATATCTAAAAATCGATGCATCTCATGCATTTTTTTTCTTAAATTCCCATTGAAGAGAATCATCTTGCTAGGGGATTTCAAAATATAAAAGAAAGCATCAACATGTGGCTAGCCATGTAAAGATGAGTTTAAATTTAAGCTTAGATGTCTCAAGCATCATTGGAGCAAGAAGAATATATTTTTGGAAAGTGAAGATGCATGTCTATTTAAACATATTGACTAGCCCCACAACCTTTAAAGAAAATAAATTATTTTCAATCATGAAAAGAAAAAAGAAGAATGAAAGGAAGGTTGTTATTTATGGAATGTTCTAATTTTGGAAGTCACAAGATGGAAGAGTTAAATTTATGTATTTCTCTCTCTCTCTCTCTCTCTCTCTCTCTCTCTCTCTCTCTCTCTCTCTCTCTCTCTATCTATCTTAATGTTATAAATATGTATCGCTAAAATATTATTTGAATGTTGAATCAATAATGAACTAAGTGAAATGCAAGTGCTTACCTTTGTATTGGTTTGCTTTTAGGTATGACTTGGTGGCCCTCCCTTTTGGTTTCCCATAAAATAATAATTGTAATCATGTCAAAATTATCAGCATTGGACAAATAATTGGTTTATGTCTTCCTTTCACTACATTCTCCATCTATGAGAAGTCATTTGAAGAGCAACATCCATCCTCACAATGACGAGGGATTAAGAATGTTGGTTGACTACAGGCTTTGACAAAGTAGTGAATTCTACAATCTTGCCTTTGACCTTCATCTATGTGATCTTTACCCTCTTCTTCATCTTATTTTCAGAAGAATTTCCTTTTTACTTATGCTTACCAAATAGGCTAGCAATAATATCTTCCTTAAAGAATATTAATCTTATCATTTGGAGCCTCTACTCTTAAAACCAGGATGAAGATTTGCATATTTCAAAGACAAAGGAGGAAGAAATCTGATTAGCAAGCATTTGAATAAAAAACAAAAATACCTCTTTTATAAGCAAAGTATTAGTTGTTGAGGATAAAGGGATAATGTCAAAAGCCAATATGAAATTGATTGGCAAATATCTAACACTAAAGTAAACATTTATAAAGGATTAATGATTAATTAATAAAAATAATTTTTATATTCTATTATTCTTTCTATAGTAAACCTCCAATGATATATGAGAAACAAAAGATTAACTACATACTCAAATATCTAGAATACTTGATTCAAACTAAGTTAATACAATTCAAGATAAATCAAATCAATTTAATCCAAATTAGTTTGATCTACTGGATTTCATACTCATCGATCTATAAGAGAACTCTCCTCAAGCAAGTTACCATGGTCCAAGTAGGACTGTCAAAATCGAGTTTTGGGTCAAGTACGGGTGCAACCTAAAATTGACCCGGCACTATTTGACCCGACCTAGACCCCACTCATTTTTAAAAATGGTTCACATTCTCAGACCCGAACTCGACTCACCTCGGGTTCGGGTCAACCCGACATGACCCGTCTTGTTTCCTAAGAAGAAACTCTAATATGAGCGACATTCTCCCCATCACCGTCGACGATGGCAAGATCAATAAGCACGAGCTCGTTGGAGATGGCAAGATCACGAAGCATGAGCTCCATGGTGGCGGAGATCAACAACAAGAGCAAGATCACAAAGCATGAGCTCCATGGTGGCGGACATCGATCGTGATGGCGAGGGATGCATCAGTTTGAATGAGCTCGGGGTCATCAGCCCGATGACGCTCGGTGAACTAGTCGCCAACGACGAGCTCCGTTATGGACTCGCCATATTCGAAGCCGATGGCGACAAAAATATCTCAAACAAGTCGATTGTACAATGTTGATGCGGGTCAATTCATGTTAGTATTGAGTTGTCGGGTTAACTTGAACCGACTCGAAACTTGTAACGGGTCCGAAATCGAGACCTAAACTCGACTCATTTTTCAAACAAGTTCACCATAACCCGAAAATTTTGGGCCGAGTCCGGCTTCCATGTCGCGACTATTTTTGACAACCCTAGGTCCAAGCTTTTTCCCCAATCAACAAGTAAAATACATTAGTTGGCTCCAATGACTACTTCTATGATGTGGGCTTTCACAACTACTCAAGGAGGGACATGTTCTTAAGTCAATTATTTGATCAACTACTCGATTACACCAATTCAAAGTCTTTATCAAAGATTGACTAAATACTTCATCAAAGTTAGACCTATGATTAAGTTATACAATTATTGTATTTATGTTTATTTCTTGTATAGTCATATATGTAGTCAATTTTATAACACTCAAGTCCCAACCCCCTATAAGTAGAGGATCGAGAGTGAGCTCAATTTATCTAATTTTTCTACAAAAATCATAAGACTTTTTACTCTAAATTTATTCTCTCTCTCTATTTAAGTTCACTTTTTTATTCAGTGTTCAAATAACGTACTTTGTAATTCACACTCACCATTAAAATAAAAGAACGTTACCACTGTACACAAAGCAAACAAATAACTCACATGCAAACAATTTTCTGATTATTCAACTATTCTGCTTTTTATTGCCAATTGCTTCAAGCCGAAGCTCTCTATTATGGATTCAAAGAGTGAATGACAAAAAAAAAAAAAAAAAACTAAAAAGAATCTCTTGTTTGCAATGCAAGATCAAGACCTGGAAGTACTCTGCTTTTGCTTCGCAAGAAGAGAGAAGAGGAGAAATGTGCAGCATATCAAAATCAAAGAACAGTTTTATCAAGACTTATAAGTAAAAAAAAAATCAGAAAGAATAAAATAAATCAAAAAAGGAAGAGTAATTATTTTAAAAAGGTTTAGGTTTCATTTGGGCAGCTTTTGGCCAATCATTTACATTTCTTTTAAGAAATCTTTGTACTAAAAAACTGCTTTAGAAAACAGTAATAAAATTATCACAATAGTGATCCTATTTTTTCACTACTTTTAAGAAAATTTTATGCTAAAAAGCTTCTATAGAAAACAGTAATAAAGCTATTCCAAACGAAGCTGAAGCCTTAAAGAATAGTTTATTTTAGAAAGAGGCATTATTATCATTTAGGCTTCATTTAGCACAGTTTTCTTACTAATTTCTAAAACAATATTTGAGTATAAAAATTTTTGAATTAGAAATTTTGTTCCAAAAAAAAAAAAAACTATCCCAAATAAAACCTTAAGGAAGCAAGCAACTACTTTGGCCATTCATAGCAGGTCCTATTCAAAAATGGGCAGAAAGATAAAATAGTACTTCCTAGCAAAAAAAATATTAAAAGAATCTTAAACTCCAAAGCTAAGCAGTAACAGAGCACAACTGGCATGGCATTTTTCACACAGTTCATTAGATTTTTCAGTAAGTTAAAACAACTAAAGTTTTCTAAGGCTTTGTTTGGGACAGTTTTCATACTGTTTCTTAAAGCATCTTTCTAATAAAAATAATAATCATTTTGTATTAAAAAACTGCTTTAAAAAGCAATAAAAAAGCCGTCCCAAATGGAGCCTAAAGTTCTTGCTCTCGATTAAAGCTGTAAAACAGCCAACCTCAAGTAAAAATACAACTTCAATTTATCTGAAAAATATGCTTGAAAAAACCAACAGTTTGCAAAGATTTTCTCTGAATTCTTGAACATATTGATTGGCTTATAGAATTACCAAAATAGCATCAAGATAAACATACCAAAATATTATCATATATTTCTCTGCAAGCGCATCATTTACAAAATCTGTATACTGCAAGGTTCTATTTCAGCCTTGTTCCCTCTTATTACTCTTTCTTATTGTGTTCTTTTATATTCTTTGTACTGCTTAAATGTAGGCATGAATATAATTGTTCAAATGCTTGAGAATTATGGAGAAGAAACCAAGAGGAAGAAGCTCGGAAAGAAACAAGAAATGCAGGAAAGGAAAATGTTAATTCAAAACCTTTCAGAAATAGGTACAGCAATAATGCCTGATATTGTATGTCTACGCTTGGCTAAATGGCTATATAAGGAGACAACCCTCCCTACTGCAAGGGGGAGATCGTCCTTAGCATCAGTAGACTCCTACAAACTCATTATGCCCCTCAGCTCCCTTTTGTAGATTGGAATGAATCTTCTGAGCATGCATTTTTACTTATTGGGCATAGTTCATATCTGAATTCTGTTAGAACAGCAATGATTACTGAAATTTTTGATTGGATAGATAATTGTTAGACTTTTGAGAAATGAAACGATTCTTGCAGCGAAAAAAATATGTTGAGAAGCATTTGATTCTATTCCGAATGAAGTCATTATGCAACATTATCAGAAAAGTAGAATGCAAAGTTTGTAATTTTTCTTTATTGCATAAATTATAATGAATATATATATATATATCCCACCCTAAAAAAATAGTCTCGATCCGCCCTCGCCCCTTTGATCATCACTATCAAGCTCTAGCCACCACATACCTTCAAATTGATATTCACACTCTTGATAATCTTCAATAAAAGCCTAGAGAGACCAAATTTTTCTTGTTAATTTTTTTTTATTTGTGCTCATCTTGATTTTGCTTTGCCTACAGATAACATAGGGCTATTTGCCAAAACTACAAACAAGAACATCTAAATTTTACTTATGGATCTCCCTTTCTAACTATTATGAACCAACACATGTATCATTTCTATTGTAATCCTCTTCCCACCTTGGATAATGTCATAGCTAAAATTATCTAAAACTTATTGACATGACAAAAGTTCACATTACTTAACCTTCTATTATTGTTGATGCTCATGAAACTTATACTACTTATAGATCATGACTTTTTATGTGCAAATATTGTAGAAATATTAGTCATATACTTTGAAGGTTATAGTTCCTTCTATTGCTTATATGATTGCACAAAGAAGAGAGAATATAGGTCGAGATCCAAATTAATATTTTTTATTTCTATGACAAACAATGCATATCTTGTAACTAAGACATTACAGAATGGCCATAAAGAATAGAGCAGAATTGGGAAGACTAAAACCTTTAATCTCAACGCGCAAACATTCATAAGATAATTTTAAATGATATTTAATACACTTCATTCTAAATGATGAAAGCAAATATATAATTTGACACAATACCTTTGTGATTAAAGGATACTATAACATTTAAGTAAAATCTCACTTTTGACATAAGTTGTGCAAAAGTATTAAACAAAAAAATATGACATTCATGACTTATATCTAATAACAAAACACCATATCTAAAGTACTGTCTACAAACTAGAAACCATATGAAAATCTCCTAATACCTAGATCACCATATATATAGTTTTTTATGCAAGAAATTGAAATGCTACTAATAAGGAAATACTCTTTAGCCGGGAAGCTTCTTTCACAACCCAACTCTTGCAAACCCAAAGCTCTCTTAGCTGGGATGGAGGTGGAGCAGAAAAAGGATGAGCACCCCTTGTCTCTTCACTCTCTTCTCCTCTCTACCTCACATTCTTATTCATATAAAACTAAATACTTCATGCAAACCATAGTAGAACAGGGATATAAAAAGCCCTCCCCTCCTGTATTGTATAAGCTGCTCAAAGCCCTCATTTCTTCTACTTGCCTTCAAAAAAATTTCAGACAAGTGTATACCCAGAGATCCAAATATCTGCTGGTGTAGCTGAGTGGATGTACACAAACTCAAAGCTCTTTCCAGCAGGCAACGACTCGAGCCATGGAGGAAAACTGTAGCCATCTACAGCCTTTGCAAGTCCCCATATTGGACCATAGAGCTTTGAAACAATGATCTTCAGATCTTTTGCAGTCTTTGATGATTTGTTGTTAACAATAACTGAGTATCTATAGTAGGTTCGACCGTGTGCTATCCAGGAAGTTGTTGCAGTTTGCTTTACAGTGAATGGAGAGAAAGCACCAGTAACTAAAACATAATACCGGTCCATTAGCTTATACATTAACACATAAGAAATTCGATACACATAGAAGCTTAAGTGATGTATACCTGGCACAGGTGCTGGCTTTGGTTGAGGAATTGGCAATGGTTTAGGTCTTGTAGGAACATTAGGTTTAGTAATCACAACTGAAATAATCAAGAATTTCATTACAAATTGAAGAATAACTTACAAGTTAAGTTACAAAATCATGTGGGATTAAGTGGTACATACCAGGTAAAAGTTGGTTAAACCCGCCATTGCCGCCATGAAGACGAGCAAGAAGACCAACCAAAGGAGCATTGTTATAGGTTGCAGGCTCAGTTTGCTCATAATTATCCCTCTCATCAGCAAAGTTATCATAGGCATCAGGGCCACCAACAATGGCACCATCCAAGAGATTGGGGTCACTAGCCTTTCGGCTAAACCAAGTTGCATATCCTCCTCTGCAGCTCACAAAAGAGTCATCCACTTTGATAGATACGATCGAAGATGCACGATGGTGAACCTGTTGTGGATAGGTAGAACCATATCCTACCATGTAACTGGTACCTCTTGGGTTGTCACCGAGAATGTAATCCACCTAATCAAATAAAAAATATCAATGAACTTATATCATTAGGTTAAAAAGTTTTCATCAAAACTTTATTAGATTGAGATATCAAAAATCAATCATTTATTGTGATTCGAAGGGAAATCAAAATAGGAACATGGCTAAAGCTTAAATCAATGATGCCTTTGAGAATAACATTAGCATTCATGAGAATCACTTTGCATGTGAATGGTGACAACAATGAGTTCTATTTTTTTTTAATGGCAAGGCAAGTAGTACGTTAAATAAATAGAGGTGGCCTATGTACAATCAATATGAAACAACTATTATACCGAGCCGATGTTTTGAACATCATAAAAGAGGACGGACCATGTTTGATACTGACCAGACAAATTTCTTCCCCCTAACATTTAGTAAGTTTAAAATTTCTAATAAACAAGACATACAATTGTGCCTATAAATTTTCCCCCTAACTATTATTTACTAACTCTTATGATTGCTACCTTCAACTAAGTCTAAAATCATACCAATAAAAAAAAGTCATGGCCAGTTTCAAATGTGGATGAAATCATATATTTAGAAGCATTTAGTCTATCTACATGGTATTCATAATGATTTACCTGAGACTTGGCAAAGTTGAAAAGATCAGAAGGTACGGCAACTCCAGAAGAACACTTCACATTCTGCCCTGCAGATTGTAGATAATCGGAGAAGATAGTGAGCAGAAAAGAAGCACTTGTTACAAACTGCAAATTGTTCCATCTCTGCCTGAAGAGAAGGCCACCAGGGGTTCTCTGAACATTATTGGAGCCCTTCCCTAAGCATGAGCACATGAAGAAATCTGCATTTTGCCTGTACTTCTCAAAAACCTGCCAATTATGTGCTGCCTTCCCTTGAAGAAGAAACTGCAGAGGTTCAAATGTGTGTTTCTTAGAATTTACTCCAATTTATGATATTAGGATTTGAAGGAACTACAAATTTAGCTAGAAATTAGGAAACAGTTAGTGCATTGGTGTTCTGTGAAAAAAAAAAAAAAAAAAGACTTTCATCATCTTCATTTGAACACAAATATTAGTTAAATTTAATCCAATATTGTAGACCATTTCTTTTCTAACATCCAAGCTATTTCCTTTTTCTACATTAAAAACATTTTTTCATGTAAAAGATAAAAAGATCTATTCTTTTTTTATTTTTTTTACATTAAATTGTTGCAATTTCTTTAAATTTTAATGGTTTCAATTGTTTTGTGGAATTAAACAAAATTTAGGCCAAAGACACTCAAACTTGTGGAAACCAGCCAAAACAGTCAAATTTTCAATAAGTCTAAAGCCGAAATCAACACGAAACAGCCGAGAAAATCCTTAAAGCCAAAACTGCATACTATGCCTTCATATATCCAAACTCTAATTTTAGCTTACGATATTGTTCCTAGCCAAATGATGTTTTATTCTGTAAGAAAAAGCAACTTCCTAAAAATTACTTAAATCGAACCAAAAATTTGACCCACTGCTCAGCACCATTCACGATCGACCAAGTGCCACGTGCCACTTCCTAAGAGCGTGAGAAATTACCTTGGAAACCAGAACTTGCACTCCGGCGTACTTCACGTCCCAACCAAATTCGGTCATGGCCCACCCAGTCCCACCCAATGGCCCACCATTCCTCCCCAAATAGTCCAAATAATAGGGCTCATCAGTCGCCTCGTGCAACCAAGCTGCAGCCCACAGAAGCTCATCCTACAAAACGATTCAATCAGAACCGTCAATCATCTTCCAAATCACAAATCATGGAAGGCACATATAAAATACAAACCCCGTATCCGCTGACAGATCTGTAATACTTCTGAACAACGGAGATGCTGAAGTCGTACTTCCCGCGGTACTTATCGGCAAAATCGAAGAGCTGAAGACGGAAAGATAAATTAATAAACGAACCAAATAAAAACTGGCGCTATTGACCGTTACCCCTCGGATTCTACAGTAAGGAAAAGAGAAGTACGAGGGCTTAACGGTCATTTCGTAAAGCAGATTCAGCGCATGCACCGACACTACTTCCATGTGACTGCAACGGTCCGAAATCCAAAAACAGATCACGAAATGGACGGCCGGTTCAGAATTTGTACTGCACCTGCTTGGCGTGGTCGAGGAGCTGGTTCGAGTAAGCCGGATCGGACCGGCGGAAGACGATTGAGGCCGCGGCCATTGCGGCGGCGGTCTCACCGGCGAGGTCGGAGCCGGGGTGGGCAGTGTCGATTCGATAGGCCTGCCGGTTCGTCATCATGTCCTCCGGTCGCTGCCAGCAGTAGTGGTCGCTGTTTCCGTCGCCCACCTGTTAGTATTCTTTGAGTTAATTAACGGTGATAAATTAATCGTTAATTACACAAAAAATCAGAAATTAAATACTCCCATGTGAGAGTTTCGACAGAAAGTGAACGGCGGAGTTAATGCGATGTGAAATGCTTAGGCAAATTTATATCCGAGTATTTGACGGGAAGCCAATTGAGGAGCGGTCGGTTGCTCAAAGATTTGGCGTAGTATTATCAAGCTATTAATTTCCTTTTATATGGGGGATTAACATACATAACACATAGTTATTAAACATCTAAAATTCAATATTAATTATATAATATCTTTTTTTATATATTTTGATTTTAATAAAAATATATGTTGCGTGATTTAAAAATATTATAGAAATGAACATCAAATTTTATAAATCAAATATGAAAGTGTCAGTAAATCGTCATGAATTGTATTTTCAAGCTAACCTCTTCAAAATAAAATTATCACTTTAAAAAACCTATTTGATAAAAAATTATGAGCAAATTTACTTTCATAACATTAAATTATAATTTATTTAAATATTTCATATATTAACTTATATATATATATATTTATATGCATCTTTCATCATAAAATTATATAAAAAATCAAATAATTTTAACTTTTACAAAATGAAAATTTAAATTTTAATGTGATTTAGTCAATAAATTCTTATAAATAAATATAAAAAATATAAATATTAGATACATAAAATCTAATGATACCTATTTAAGTCCTTCCTCATTAAGAAAAACATGGTTACCCATAAAACAAATATTGAACGATTACGAGGAGCTCTTCAGTCCCACGAGAAATTATTACGTGAGAAGTTTGGACATACCTTTCCGTTCAGACTATGAATATACACATAATGTGTACATTGTGTACAAATGTATACATTATATGTACATTCATAATCCGGATGTAACTCTTCGTCCGGACTCAACACAGAATAATATCTCCATTCCAAGAGTCTATTTTCCGATATATCTTACTCATAAGTCCATAGAAATCAGCTTATGACAAAATAGGAGTCTAACCATTTTCATATCCAAATATAAAAATTCACATATAAATTTAATTTTACACTATTTGTTTGGAAAAAAGCATAAACAGTATCTTCCGGTTAAAAATGCAAAATGATGGATTAACATGCAGTTTAGATGCTAATATGAGGCTATCAACATCAAATTAATTTTTTAATCCATCAGCAAATTTTTAATCGCCCCCAACAAATGGGAAGATAATTAAATGAAAATTTGAAATTTAAGCCCTAATTGCGTCATCAGTGATAAATCAGAGTAAAATCGTGAAACTGTTTAAAAACCTAATAATCAGTAGTTAAACAGCTAAATCATGGGATTAAACCTAAATTAGGTAAGAAAGTACATAGTATTAAATTTCTTTACATTAAAGTGTTGATTTCAAACAAAAGTTAAGAAGAAAAAAAAAATTCTAAACTTCCGTTGTGGGTTAAGCAGATATTAGCCCAGTAAAAGCAAACCAAAGATGACCCACAAACATCCAGAAAAAAGGGAAAGAAATCAGAAGAACAAAAAGAAAACAAGAGAAATTTCCATTAACGATGGCCCCGCATACAGTAAAAACTATGAGAAATCTCAAGGAAATGATGTGATTGAAGATTGAGCAAGAACTCGTTAGGTTACCTCTCCATAAAGAACATAAGGTTCAGGGTGAGCTTTAATGAGATAGTCAGTGCCCCACTTCACTGCTGCCATGGCATGCCCGAGCTCTCCACTTTCAGCCATTTGCTTCCCGTACTCCACTATTCCCCAAGACATCATGGTGATGGTGAATGCCATGGGTAACCCAAACTTTACATTGTCCCCTGCATCATAGTAACCCCCGACAAGATCTACCTGCAAGGAGAAAGAAATATATGAGAATTTGAAGAAGAAAGAAGAAGGAAATGGTTTTAGTTAAAGCAGAGACGAAGATTTACCCCATTAGCCTTGCCATCAACGAGGCCGGAATTTCCTCTCCAGTTAACCCTCTGGTTGCTTGGTAGATAACCGGATCTCTGAGCCTCGAAGAAGAGAATGCTCTTGCTGAGAGCTTTCTGATAATCATGAGAAGCAGATGCAGCGGATGCCAGAGAAAGCAAGAACAAGTTAACCAGAAACAGATTCCTTCCCATCTCGAACAAAGGAAAACAGAGAAAGCCCTAACACAAAACAGAGAAGAAAAATGTTCAATGAATTCCTCTTCCAAGAGGCAATGCAGCTAAAATTTTCATAGTAAAGGTCGAGAAAAAAATCATACCGAGAAGAATATAGAAGATGGGAAGAGGAGAGGATAGAGGCAAGTGGGAAGCTCAACGACCCTTTATATTGAGAAAGGTGGGAGGAGATCAGAGATCGCAGGGATTAATAAAAGGGCGCTTTTTTATTTCAGTTAAAACTAAAATAAAATAAATATAATTTACAGCAGCCATTTTTCAATTTTTTTTTTTTAATTTCTGTTTCTGAAGCATTTGAGACTCTCAGGAGAAGAAAAAACGGTCGGGGGGGAACAGCAAAAACATGGCATGTGGTTTCTCTGCTTTTTCACAGAAGAACGTCGGTGTGCTTTGTTTTCTCACAATTTCATCCTTTCAAAATATAACATAGCATTCCTAGGTTCCGGTCCGGGTCAAGTCATCGGGCTGCGCATTAAAGAGTAAGAGCACGTGGCGACATGTTATTGGCGGCCGAACATAGCTCTATGTCCGGTCAGAGGACCTAATAAAAGTTCTCATCATTGAGGTGAGATTAGATCAAATAAATTATGATCGTGTAGGGATTATGAGCCGATCGGAGTCATATACATGTAAATTAATTGTGTGGCCATGATATTGCTAATATATATATATATATATGGTAGTATATCATAAGCTTAAAAAAGGGCTAAATAATTGTGTGAGTTGGTTGACGTAAGGAAAGAAGAAAAGACTTTAAAAAGCATTATCCCTTTATTTTTATATAGTAGAGACTCACTCCGGTCACTATTGAGGTTCCCATTGTTCGTGGCAGTGCTGCAAACTGGACCGTCCGATTCGAGCGGGCCTCACAGATCTAAGCGCCAAGTCTTGGACCAAATAATTGTTAGGTTTGTTTGAATATATGCTTATATTGAAGAATAGAATAATTCATCCTCATATTATTTTAATTGTTTATCATAAATTTTAAATAGCACAATTTTTTAAATATCTAGAAATGTTTGATAATATTAAAAAGGTAAAAGATATATTTTTACTATTTTAAATTTTAGTAATTTAAAATTCATATTAGAAAATACAAATATGAGAATAAATAATTTTAATTTTCTTATATATATACAAAATTGAGAGGATTTCTTTGATATCTTCTAATTATAGTATGAATTGCTGGAGAAATAATGGAGTATGATAATAGTGGTCAAATAAAGTCAGTCGTACATTGGCGATGGAAAGTCAATATTTGTGAGATCGTATTTGGGGTGACGACAATTAGCTGAAAGTAATCTAACAATGATGGTTAGGAGACTGTACTTGGGTGATGATGATCAGTGTATTAACATTATGATCTATTGAGTTTATAATTCACCATAAGTTTATTTTTATATGATTTTCAGATTAATTTGTAGGATATGAAAGTCATCGGAGATAAATAAAGATTTTGAATGCTTATTATTATTCTTTTGTATAAATCATTTTAAGTTCATATATTTTAACAAATTTAAAATTATGAAATAATATGTTAATAATCACCAAAAATATCAAATTGTATAATATTCTAATTTATCCAAAGGCGATCCAATCAAAAGTTACATACAAATTTTCACAACAAGTCTAATATGCCTCAAGGATGAGTCACAAATAAATTTATGTTGGAAAAAAGTCTATGATGAAAATATATTTTTCCTACTTAGTAAATAAAGATGCTGAAAATATTATTTTCAATCACACTAATTAAAGCACCAAAAATTTCACAAGGCAAAGCAAAATAAGATTGTGATTATAAAATATTTTTGGATTTTTGTATGAGACAAGTATAGAAGATTTAAATTTAAAATTTGTTTATCTTATGCAAACAATCAAGCAAAGTGAGGCTTAAGTGGTCTTCACCGCTGTCGTCCTTCATTTAGAGATTAATTGTTATTCATTGTGAAAATATTTGTAATATGTTAGGAATATTTCTCATCGAAAGCACAAAACTGTCGTGTATTATAAAATTTATGATGATAGATGAGTTTTATGTTTCAGCTTTGCACCAAGGTTTATCACACACATAGATAAAACAGAAGAATGAAAGAGACATATTTTTTACATGAAAAACTCAGAAAGGAAAAAAATCACCTAGCTAAGCCTTATTTAAATAATCCACTATGACAATAGTTAATCAATAATAGATATATAATGGTGATTCGACGACCACAATGTTTTGTGATGATTGTCAACATCTAGCATTGGTAGAGCTTTGTTGACGGGTGACGGAGGTCGGAAGAGCCATAGTTAGCAGGCGATAGAGGTTGAAAATATGAAACTCCTTAAGTAAAACAAATTAAACTCTTAAACATCGAGGTGCCTTTTGGTGTAATGTTTAAAATTTTATTAAGAAACTCCATAATTAAACGTGCTCATCACAAAGTAATTTTGGGATGGTTGATCTACTGAAATGTTACACCAACAGGACAAAACCGTGAGGCTCTTAGACCAAAGCGGATAATATCTCGATAGTTAAGAGTTTGTGCTCTTATAGGAAAGACTGTAGTCTGGTGATAGAGGTCGGAAGGATGATTGTCGGGTGGAAGTCCAATAATAATTGGAAGCCATGTGGAAGTTCGACGTTAGTGGCTGGGTAGAAGTTCGGCGTCAGTTGGTGGCCGGCAAAAGTCCTATGAGAGTTGGTAGCTGGGAGAAAGTCTGATGACAGTCCGTGGCCAAGCATAAGTTTGCATCCTACGGTGGCAGGGTGAAAGTCCGACGGCTGGCGAAAGTCTGACATCGTGCATAAGTACAGCTTCAGGTGGTGGTCTAGCAAAAGTCCTAGCGTCAGTTGGTGGTCCGACAGAAGTTTGGCGTCGGGTGGTGGTCCAGCAGAAGTCCGAGCATTGGTCGAAGAATAGCTAGGTGGCAAGAGCGATCTCTAATATCTTTTCTTGCTTCCTTGCTTGGGGTCCCCTTTCATGAGAAGTGAGTGATCTATTTATTGATTTCTGATAGTGGCATGACCCGTAAATAGAAGAAAGATCAATGCAAAATTGGAGTGATTTGGATGGACTACTAATGTTAAATCCCTTGATTGTAGACTGTTTATTAGGCATTTAAATGCCTTAGTGATGTCAGAATTTGGCGATCTTAAGCTCGCTAGATTCATCTCATCGAGCCGCTCGATTCAACTATAAGCATGTTTAAAAACTTTTTGGTAATTCAAATTATGGTTTGAACCTTTCAAATGTTCTTGAGGTTATTGATTTGGACACATTTGAGCTCAGATTTAGTCGAATTTGGTGTCTTTGTGTTTGTCTTTTCGAGACGTTCAGTTCAACAATAAGTTTGCTGAAATCGAAGTTTAGATGGTTCCTGATTTAATTGTGCCATGAGGTTCGTGCCCGATCAAGATAATTTTATTGATATATAAAAAAGTACCATGGTCAAAACGTTGAAAAATTTGACCCGTTAATTATAGATGATTATATTTCTAAATTGTACATTATAATTACATATTTATAACTTACCATTTAGTATTTTAAATCAGTAATTTTCACCATAAGGATGAAAATTAACGCCCCAATTATAATCGTTGGCCTTTTTCTTTATTATCATTATTATTTTTTTAATTTTTTGCCTTTTGGTGGTTCGATGAATCTGATGAGCCTGATTGCAACCACGATAATAACGAGACCGAATTCGTGGTTCTGGAGCAAAGTTTATTAATGTAGCCACAGCAGGATTTTGGAATAATAGCTCCTCTAATCCAATAGGCTATAGTATTGATAATAGTAAATTTGAGAAACTGCACCCTACCTGCAAAAGAAAGAAACTTGATTTTCCAACCATCAAGTAGAGCAGAAAGCCTGCTCAGGAGTGGTTGAAAGTGAGTAATTTTGAGCCGTTTAGGAGAAATAGGGAGGCCCAGATAGATGAAAGATTCAATAACTTGGTGAATCCCCAAAACCTCGCAAATCTGAAATACCTCAGTAACAGAGTTAGAGAAGGTAATAGAGCTTTTGGAGGTATTGATGAAAAGGCCAGAATTAGACCCAAAATGTTGCAGGCAGGAAGAGAGGGCCTCAGCATTTTCAGTGGAGGCCGATCCGAAAACAAGAAGGTCGTCTGCATACATGAGATGATTAACATTAAAATTTCTGCTTTGAATCCCCTGAAATCCAATGTTGTTGTGAGGTGAGTGAAGAATTTGAGAAAGACCATCCATTACAATGCAGAATAAAAGTGGGGAAAGTGGGCATCCTTGTCTGAGCCCAGCAGATGAGTTAAAAAACCCCTCAAGGGAACCATTTAAGCAGACAGAAAAATGAACATCCAAGATACATCCTTTAATCCAAGAAACAAATCTATCTGGAAACCCCTTTTGAACCAATCTGTCAATCAAAAACTCTCTAGAAACACAATCAAATGCCTTTTTGATATCTAGCTTTGCACAAAATTTCTTGCTAGAACCCTTGAAATCTCTTAGAATTTCAGAAGCAAGGATAATATAGTCTGTAGAACATCTCTTCGCAATAAAGCCAGATTGACTTTCATGGATTATCAAAGGTAACACCAACTTCAATCTATTAGCAAGGACCTTTGCAATAATTTTATAAAAAACATTACAAAGGGATATAGGCCGATAGTCATTGATGTGAGCAGCATGAGATTTTTTGGGTATTAAAGTAATGGCCGTAGCTTTCATCCCCTTAGGGAATGAACCAGAGGTGAAGAAATTATTCACAGCTTTGTAGATTTGGAACCCAATCAAATGCCAAGCTTTTCTATAGAAAGCAAACGAGAATCCATCCGGGCCCGGAGTAGAAGATTCACTTCCCTCAAAAACTGCCTTTCTGACTTCATCAAAGGAAACCGAGGCAATCAACATGCCATAAAGATGAGTGGGGACAGTCTTACCAGAAGGAATGGTGTGAGAGATTGAAGGTCTAAAGGTAGGGTTGTAGAGTTTTTTAAAATGATTTACAACAGCCCTAGATATCTCAGCGTGAGAGGAAAAATGTCCTTCATCTGTGGTGATCTCTCTGATACAATTTTTATTGCTCCTATGCCTAATCTTAGCAAAAAGAAAGCATAAGTCATCTTCACCTTGAGAAAGCCAAGAAGTTTTGGCTCTTTGTGTTATCCAAGTAGACCAATGAGCTTGCAAAGATGCCAGGTTACCATTGATATTTTTTAAAGTAAAGTTAATATCATGGTCTAAAGGATTTTGTTGAAGCTCCAGTAAACAGGCGTTTTGCTTGGCTTTGAGTTCCAAAATGGAGGTAGACAAGAAATTAGAGGAAGCCCAGTTCCTATTTTTAAGAAGTCTTTTGAGGCATTGCAAGCTATGAGAAAAGGAAGCAATGGGGCTTCTAGCTGTCTTAACAGAGAAAGCAGCATAAACGTCATCCCAGAAACCATCCATTTCAGTCCAGTAGTTTTTGAATTTAAACCTAGCAGAAATAGGTTTCACATGAGTGGGACTGAAGATAAGCGGGGAGTGATCAGAGCCTTGAGGAGCATCAACTTTGTAGTAAGCTAAAGGCAGGTGATCAAGTAAAGCAGAATTAACCAGAACTCTATCAAGTTTAATGTGAATCGGATGGTCCACCCTTTGATTACACCAGGTGTAGAAAAGACCAGTAGAAGATAAGTCTTGCACACCACATTTAAAAACAACATTGTTTAACTCTCCCAAACGGCTTTCGGAGAGGCAAGTCCCACCCGCTTTTTCAGAATCAAAGCGGCAACAGTTAAAATCTCCCATTATAACCCACGGCTGATCTAGAGGTGGGATAAGCTCAATTAATTGATTCCATAAACTTCTTCTCTCGTCCATACTATTGCAAGCATAGACAACCGAAAGTAAAATGGGGGGAAAAGATCCCGCAGAAAAAACCCCATGAATAAGTTGAGGTGAAGTAAGGATGGGCCTAAAATTGATAGCAGAAGAATCCCATTTGATCCAGATTCTACCCGGGTTGGAATCCTTGAAGTTGTTGTGACTTTCTTCATTCTCAAACAACAAATGAGAATTTAAAAACCAATTATCTTCCGCAGAAGACAGAGCAATTCTAGCTTCTAAAACACAAAGTAATTTAAGATCATGTTCACGAATCAGAGACTTACAGAGATGCACCTTGTCCGGGTTATTGAAGCCCCGGACGTTCCAACTTGCAAATTTGGGAGGGGACATTAAAATTTTGAGGGTTTGGCCTTCTTGGCCGATTTGCCTTTAGGTGGCTTGGACTTGGAAGGGGATTTACCTTTGTCAGGTTTGGGTTTTTTCCCAGTAGAAGTGGAAGTATCAGGCGGCTCTTCCCCAACATTAGGAATGGAAGAAGAGCCATTTTCAGACAGACTGTCAACATGATTGGGAGTGTCTTCTTCAGCGGACTGAAGAAAATCAAACTTGTTACCAAGGGGGATTTTGGGGATATTAGGAAGATAATTTGGTGTTGGCTGTTCTGAGGATGAAGACACCTCAGTAGGGGAATTGAGGTTTGGGAGAGGGGGAATCAAGGTTTGATTATAAGAAATGGGTAATGAATCATTAACTGGAAGCGAAGAAGCGGGTAGAGTTTCATTGACTGGAAGAGAAGTGTCCTGAATAATGTTGAGTTTGGGATCAATAGGGTTGGTGGAGGTTTCAGCACTAATTGTGGGGTTTGTCGTTGGCTTTCTGGAAGGAGACCTGCGCGTCTGAGAAGCTCTATGCCGCGAGGTGCTCCTACCACGATTTTTGGGTGGTTGTGGAGGTAAAAAAGGCTGTGGATTTGGATTTTTTGGGCATAAGGAGAAAGGATGTATCAAAGAGCCACATCCTTCACACCGATCCGGCTTCCAGTCGTAGATAACAGAAAGGATAAGGTCTTCACCATCAATCTCTATAGGGATTTCTTCATGCAAGATGGAATCTTTAGTGATTTGGACACATACCCGGGCAAAAGTAAGTCTGGTTCTATTAGCTGTGAGAGCGTCAACAGAGATCGGGACACCGATATAACTGGCGATGCGAGAGATACCTGTCGGAGTCCATAGGGCTAGCGGAAAATCAACTATTTTGATCCAGAGAGGGATGGGAGCAGCCTCATCACGCTTCGGCTTGAACTTTGGGGACCATCTCTGTAGAATGAAGGGCTTACCAAGTAGGAACCAAGGGCCACCAGACAGAATAGATTCAAGGTCTTCAGAGGTAGTGAACTTCAGCAGGAAGAACCCATCTGCCAAGGAAAGGAGGGACATGGAGCCTTTAAGAGGCCAGAGCTTTTGCATGGCTTTGAGAAGTCGTTCATAGTATGGTCTAGGACCAAGAGAATATCCAATAAGGGCGTTGTTCCACACGGTTTTTCCTTCGGACAGATCGTTGAGGTTGAAGGAAAGCTTTTTCTGACCAGGAGCGTAGAAAGAGACTGGAAAGACATTAGCTTTGGGTATAGTGGTTGAAACATTATCAGCATAGGATCCTCCAGTGGGAGGATTGCCAAGAACAGAGGTGGAGGGAAGAGGGGGGAAATGAACCTGGGGTGAAGCCATCACAAGGGAAGGGAGAATCCCTCCCACAAAGGGAGGGAAAAAATGCAGGCGGCGGGAGATCTCAAAACCCTAGCAGAGCTTCCCTCTCTACATTATCCGAGGTCGTCTCTCATGGAAATCAATATAAGTTTTAATAAATGCGGTAATTCTCACTTTCCCAACGGAATATTTGTTACAAATATACCCCCTAGATTTCAAGAAATGTAAGCCGTCTGATTCAATTTTTTAATGGCTGCCATTTCTAATATTTTAATTTTAAATAAATTAAATCTCAACCGTCCAATTTATTAGCTGCACCGCCATCATAGCCGGGATCTTTAACTGCTTCTTGATGACATCCAACTGCACTTTTTTTCCCTTTTTTTATTAATCGGTGAGCCCAAACCTGATTTAGGATGCAAACGAATCGGAATCGAATCCATTTCAAGCACAAACTCGAGCCAGCTGAAGAGATGACTCATTTATTATGAAAAAATAATAATTATGTTTCAAAATATTTTTTTAATATAATGATAAAAAATATGAACTAAAAAAATAATAAATAATTACTTAAAACAATAAAGTTAGATATAATTTTAAAATATTTTAACCAATTTTAAACTTCAAATTCTAAATGCTAATATATTTTGAAGACATTTTATATTATTATTTTTTAAACGAGAAGGCTCATGATTTAACTAATCAGGGCCGGCTTAAATTTGACTTTTTAGCTTTACAAACTCGACTCACGAGCTATTTATTAAGTCGTTACACCTCTACCCGATTGTGTTTGGCATTATTAATTTAGTTTATTTTTTCTTTTTCTTTTTTAATTTCAAAGGTGGTATATGTGTCAAAAAATAATTAAAAAAATAAGGTTAGAATAAGATTTACTAAATGTTGCAAGACTCAAATTAAAACAATTAAATACCTATAAAGTATTATAATTCAGATGATAATACTGGCCTTGGTATTCATTTATTATATTATATAGTTCAATTAATAAAATATTTATCTAATCTTTTGTAAATTATGAACACATGATAAAATATGTTAAATTTTAAATTTAAATTTATTTGAGAAATGAATCAAGCTGATCTATCATATATAATTATTGTCATAGATTATTCATCAAAGTAGATAAATATTAATTATTTTAATATTTTTGGTTTATGTTAAGAAAAGTAGAGGTAGATGACCTAAAAAGACTTAATTAAAAAATATTAGAAGTGTTGCGTCTATGAGTATTCGCGGCGGTAGAAAAATATAAAGTTTATCTTCTTAGCGTTGTACGAAAATCCGGCACGCAATCAGATAAGAGAAAGGGTCTAGCATTTATGAGACACCAAGATTTTTACGTGGAAAACCTCTGAAAAGGGGGAAAAACCACGGGGCCTAGCCCGGTTTGAATGAATCCACTATTATTGCAGTCGATTACAAATGAGCCCTTCCTTGGTGGAAGGTCTTAGCTTGATGTACATCTTATGGAGTACATTACATGATGTTAATACAAAGAGTCATTGTTGATATGTTCGTTTGGTCGGAAGGACCGTAGTCGGAGGTCGACG